CAACTGGCCCTAACGCGTTTCATCCGTAATCCCACATTCTCTGTTACTGTGCAGGTATAGATCTTTACCTAACCCTTTTTTTAAAAATTTTTGACTTTGTATATGAAAGACGATTTAAAAATTCTTTTGGCATTGTTGTACTTATTTATTTAACCTTTTTCCTATGAATCTTACCTTCCCAAGTGCCCAAAATCTGTTAGAAAAGCAAAAGTCTCATCATATCTTTTAAAAGTCTCTAATGATATAAGTTATTTATATTTTGAATAAAACTCTTTATTTTGTTATATTTAACTTTTATCTGGCTTCTCTTATGAGCTAGGCATCATTTGTTTTGTGTTACCTCTCAGTGTTCTCACAGTTAGTCCACTACAAGATCACTGTGAAAATCAGCCAAGCACTAGTCTGTAGCAAATTTTTTTCCTTAGAGAAGCCAAAAAATTCAAAGAATGTGATCATCTCTGTCAGCTGATGTATGACTCTAGATAAGTTACACAAGCACATCTATATCTATCTGCAAATGGTCTTGATCATGTATATTAATCCTTATTTTTCAGGGACTTCCCCTACATTTTAAATGGCATTTGTTTAATGTATAGTTCATTCAGCAAACATTTATTATGTGTCTCCTGTGTGTCAGGCTCTGTGCACTGCGGTGATTGTGACAGATACAGTGTAGACTTAATTACAGTACCAACTAACACTGTTTCAGAGCTTTCTGTGTTTCAGGTGTTGTGTTGAAGTATGCTAAAAATTTATGTCATTTACTCTTTTCAAAAGCTCATGAAGTGCAGCTACACTTTTTTCTCACTTTATAGATGAGGAATTGAAACTTAGTGTAAGGCAGCTTCCCAAGATTTCTCAGCAAGTGGATGAGATACCAACCCTGTCTTCTAAATCCAGAGTCTGGGCCCTTAATCCCTACTGGCTCATAAATACCAGGGAATTTATGGGTTTGGTCAGGGGAGCTATGTCAGCCCTTAGCTAATGGTTTCTTCCTCCCCCCAAAGTAGAAGATGAGAGTTGAGTGGGATTAAAAAGAGGATAGAGGTTTTTGGAAAGGTGGAGATTTGGAAAAACTCTTGTTCAGTGATGATGGCAACTGAGAGTGCAGGCATTTCTGTGGGATCAGTGGATGCTGTGGACCATGAATTCGTGGCAGAATCAGTCTGCCAAGTAAAGTATAGTGTTGCAGAACAAAGTCTTTCAAACAGGAGTGGGGAGTTAAATAACCTAATAACAGCTTGGATCAATTGAGATTAGTTTCAGCAGCCAGTAAACTCAAGTTAGAGGTTCATTTTTCTCTCATGCAAAAGAAATCTTAAAGTAGGTAGTCAAGGGCTTCTATATGACATTTATACAGTCGTCAGTGGTGCAGCTATTTCCACCTTTTTGCTCCACTTTTCTTAGGCCAGGCTTTCCATCCTCAAGGTTGCCACATATTTACAGGATAACTGCTGGAGTTCTGGTCCTCATGCTCACATTCCAGATAACAGGAGTGGGGAAAAGGGGAGGGGCAGAGGCTGTCACCTGAGTCAACTCCCTTTGTAGCATTTTCCAGAAGCCCGTTATTGACTGCTGCGAAATCTTTAGATACTCTTAAATACAAGGGAGTTTGAGAATTATGGTTGTTTTTTGTTTTGTTTTTTTTAACTCAGGCACATTGCCACCTACAACAATATAGGAACCTACTTTTAAAGAAAAAAGAAAACTGGAAATTGAAAACAACAGCAGTCTTTGCCACGCTTTGTTCCCAAATCTCCTTTTGTGCAGCAGACATTTGGAAGCCTTAGATGAAAATAAGACATCAGATAGATACATTGTGAAATTCTCTCACAAGGTTAGAATGTAAATAGGTGCTATTGTTTTCTACTTTAACATGACATGAGAACATGGAGTCAGAGAATGATGCCTCCCCAGCCTCACCACCCCCCAGGGCAAGCCGTGCACCATCTAAATTGTTTTGGGGTTACTGCTGTGTTGTGGAGACAGGGAAGCTGTATATATTTAAAAAGTGTTCGCTGCTGATTGCTCTGTCTCTTTATTAATTGGTTTTCTTCATTCTTTCCCAAAGAGAATTTCATAGTTGTTGTTTCTTCTTATAAACAGTTGGTTTCTAAATGAAATATAAGCCAGCTACATCCTTCATAAAAAGATAAAGTAAAACAAACACTTTTGAAACAAACACAATTTGTTTCACGTTCGTAATTTTCTGTGTTTCTGTTCTTGGGAGCAGTGGTCTTTTTTTCTAACCCTCTTTCCTTTCAGATTGCAGGCAAGTAGGAAATTAGCAACAGCTTCTGTGGCAGCTTTCTAGTGACAAAGGAAAGAAATTAAAGATGGCCCGATATCGTAAGGACCCGTAAGAGGGGAACATTCAGAGTTGAGGAAAAGATAATACCTTTGGATCCATGGAACTGATTCTTCAAACATTTAAGAGCCTCCTGATGGAGCTTCCAGTTTCTCTGGGTGGCTTTAAGCAGATTCAGATGGAACTGTTATTTCCGATTTGTGTTTTCAGTCCAGGTTCTTTGCTGATGGATGCTTGGCTCGGTGTTAGGTCCTGCCCCAAGGGTACAAATGAGTGTCCGGGTGTGGTCAGTGGTGTGACCGAACTGTGCTGCACCCGGGCATTTGCAGCACCCGGAGAAGTCAGCGCACACGGGGCCAGGGGGTGGGAAGGTATGTTAAGCCGGGAATTAAAAATAAAGAACAAAGTGAAGGAATTGCTCAGGAGCCTGGCCGAAAGGCGGCCCAGGCACCTTCAAGTGATCCAGATGGGCTTTTTGTTCTTATGTATTGATATGAGCAAGGAGCCAGGAGCAGTCCCCTTCCCGAGTGCTTCCTGTGGCATCTTGCACTGAGCTTTAGGCAGTTGACACGTTTTGGATTTATGGAAAACAGTTTTCTTGGATATTTCACCTGTCTCCCAGGATGACATATCAGGTTGAGGGTATCAACTGCGTTTTCTTTGCTGTTATAAACAGTTCTTTGAGCTGAAAGACTTCTGAACTCACCTATTATTTCTCTCTGGGTGGGACGTGATGTCTCATGATGGGTAACAAAGGCTCACGTATCACCTGCTTTTAATGGTAGCATCAGGGCATCTCATTTCCCGTAGTGTGACTTTAATTTCCTGTCATCTGGATGGCTGTGATCAGAGGCCTGGTTGTGCCACCCCAAATGAAAGGAGTGAGAGGAAGCACTCTCGCCTCGCGTTACAGTTCGCGAGGAGGGTTCAGGAGGATCCTTTTATGCCTCACTCCAAGTCAATGGGCCCCACTGTTGCCTTCCCATTATTTGGCCGCTGTATAGAGGTGTTGGGGAGGAAGAGACTGTTACACTCAAAATAAGAGAAAGTCTCAGCAGGGCATTAGATATGGTCCCAATGGGTGCTGAGCAGGTGTGAAAAGCCGTCGATAAGATCAGAATGCCCAGAAGTTAATGCTCAGATAAAGAACATGAGGAAGAAGGTGACTAGAGATCCGCCAAGGTTATGACATTTTAGGGAAAGCCTTTTGGGGTCTGGGCCCATTGCAGCTGTTCATGCCCACTAATAACTAAAATATAAAGTATGTAACTTTTTTTTTTCCCCTGGAGTCATGAGAATATTGACTAAGAGTGATAAGTGATAAGGAGGTGATTCTGAACCAGACACTAAAAGATCACTGTAGTCCTCGAGTTTCATCCAACATTTCCCAGATGGTACTTTTCACTCTGGACAACTTTTCTTGGTAACTCTGAGAGTCACTGGGTGGTGCTGAGTGCTCTTTTGAGCTTTTTTTTTTTTTTTTTTAAATTCAGTTTATTGGGATAACATTGGTTAATAACATTATATAAATTTCAGGTGTGCAACTTCATAATATGACGTGTATACTCTAGTGTGTGCTCACTACCAGAAGCCCAGTCTCCTTCCATCACCATGTATTTGACCTCCTTTAACCTTCTGTGCCCTTCCCACACTCCCCTCACCCCCAGCCACCATTCTTTTGTCTGTGTCTATGAGTTTGTTTGTTCATTTGTTGCTTTTTGTTTTATATCCCACCTGTAAGTGAACTCATATGGTTCTTGTTCGTTTCCGTCTGACTTATTTCACTTAGCATGATACTCTCAAGGTAACGTGTGCCTTGTCATTGTGACTGTGGGTTTTTCTCTAGCTACATCGAGTTGCTTTGGGGAGATAGAGAGAAGGCACATGCCTGGGTATAATCAGGTGATCATGCTCTTGAGGGAGAAGGGCCAGGGATGAATGAAAGGAGTGATTAGAAAAGTAGGCCGTGGGACGTGAAGCTGAACCAGAGGGAGGTGAAGACAGGAGGGAGGTGAAGAGCACGCCTCCGACATGCCGCACTGATGCAGATGATTGATGAGAATATTGCTCGACAACGTGGGACGACTGAGGCTTTAATACAAGTTAATAAAAATCTGGCACATTTTAGTAGTGTAATTTTTTACTTGCCTCATCCAAATTACTGATAATCCTTATGAGTTTTATGATTCAAATTGGTTTATAATTGCCAAAGTAAAATGCATCAACAAACAACCTATTTTTATAAATTTTCTTGATATATCTGTGAAATATCATCTCCGTTGGATTTATATTATTGAAAATCTTTGCTTTTCTAATATTTCTAGTTAATCTGCTCTTCTTAAATGAATTTACATATTCAGAGTGCCAATAAATATTCCCGCTTTAGCTTTACCAAGGTAAAAATTCACTTATCACACTGCAGACATTTTCTTCATTTGGATGTCTGCTCTGTCCTACCTTGGTGGAAAGGTAAGTCTACATTAAGCACTGTGACACGTTTTTTTGGCTGGCTTCCCTTCCTTATTCCTCTCATTGGGATTGGGTAATTGAGGTAATTGTCTGGGGGAAAAATCAAAACCTAAACCAAAGTCTTGCTTCATTTCACTGGTGTCATTGAGGTGCCTCCCTTTACATCATTAGGAAGCAGACAACAGTCTATTATGTAAGCTAAAACAGAGGAGGAGGCAGTGATAAGTGCAGACAAGTTCTTGTGTAGTCTAGAAAAGAAAAGGGAGTTGCAGAGAAAGTATTTGCAGTTTTTCTCCTGTGCTACCCACAGGGCAGGTGTTTGGATTATTAATGAGTCACCTGGCTCTTAACATAAAAATATCTGTAAGGTAGAGAAGGGTAGTTCATCACGTTACTCCGTTCCAATTCCTTAAGGAGACTCATAATCACTGCTCTCTTCTGTTCTCACCAAGCCAGCTGCCTATTGCTAACTGTGCTTTCGCATGAACACCATCCCCTCCCCCAACCCCCAGGAAGGACATGTTCCTTACAGGTGGGTCAGTAGTTCTGGGATCAAACAAAATCTTACACTTAAATAATTGACAATTAGGGATTTAAATAGGTTGTTTTTCATTAGATTATCGTGAATCCATTCCATTATACTTGTTTCAGCCTGGGGGAACCAAACTAAACTCCTTTTCTGAAACAGCAAAAAGTCAGCCACTGAATCCTGGTGAAGACAAGGGTACAGACCCCTGTGAGCCTGAAGCGCTAATGACCATCTGGCCTCACCCATTTCTAAACCATTCATCATAGAAGTTCAGTGTTTGTGAATTATTCTTCCCATATGCATTTTAAGGTTATTCCAAGACTCTAAAGAAAACTTAAATGGTAAGATTCTGTGACATTTGTATTAATTTATTCATGTATTCTTACTTTTCATTGTGTGTTTTTATAAAATGTCTTTACCCCTTTTAGCATTAATGGTGTTCTGGGAGTTTTAAGAGAAGTTGCCAAATGAAGATGGTATTTAAATTTAGGCTTGACATTTTCTTTTAGTTTATCTTGATGAGGTTACTATTTTATTATGAGAGCTAACATAAATAATATCAAACTCTTACAAATATGAGAGGGAAAGAATAATTTTCCTGATTTAAGGAGACTACTTACTGCTATTGATAAGGTTTTCCTGAACAATTTAGACTAATTGTTGTTTAGAAACATTTTAATCCACTAAAACTCTGAAATTTGGGAGAGTAAGGGTAAAATACAGAATAAAAAGAGTACATTTGGGAATATCATTGGTTGGTGTGATAGTTAATTTTGTGTGTCAAGTTGAGTGGGCCACAGGGTGCCCAGATATTTGGTTAAACATTAGCCTGGATGATCCTGTGTGGGTGTTTTGAATGAGACGAACATTTAAAGTGGCAGACAGTAAAGCAGACTGCCCTCCCAAATGTGGGTGGGCCCCGTCAAATCAGTTGAAGACCAGAGTAGAACAAAAAGGCTGACCTTCTGCCAAGTAAGAGAGAATTCCTCCTGCCGGACTGAGTTTGAAGTGGAACATTTGTTGTTGTGTTGTTGTTTTTTTGCCTTTGGATGGGAATGGAAACTTTGGCTCTTCCTGCATCTCCAGCCTGCCGCCACCCTTCGGATTAGAACTGTACCACGGGTTCTCCTGGTTCTCTGGCTTTCCGACGCAGACTGGAGCCCCACCATCAGCTCTCCTGGGTCTCCAGCTTGTTGACTCACCCTGCAGATCTCAAGACTTGTCAGCCTCCATAATTGGGTGTGCCAATTCTGTATAATAAATCTTTTTCTACAAATATAGATGCGTATCTGTCTCTCTATTTATTTATCCACAACCTGTTGGTTCTGATTCTCTGATCAACCCAGACTAATAGAGTTGGACTAAGTAGTTTTGATTCAGAGAGATATATAGAGAGATGAGTAATTATTTTGAAAATTACTAACATCAGAGGGAACATTATATAAAATGACTTAATTTGTCTAGTGTAATGTTTTCTAGAATACCTGATTTAAAAAGAATGATGCTGAGAAAATAGGGGAAATTGAAATAATGTTTTAAAACTGGTTCAGAACATTCTTTAAAATGTCTAGTGATTGAAATTAATGCAGAAAATTTCCCTTCTGGCATATTTTAGGTTTTGGATAAATGATGATTACAATGAAGCAGTACACTTGGCAGATGATAAAGAAAATCATGTTTTTACCTTTTGTTTTTCAATTAATGTCATACTTTGTTTTATCATGAAAATATACAGTTTTGAACCCTAATTTACAAACAAAAGTCCATTCTGATTTATTTTATACAGATATATTATTTCTAGGGCCATGTGATACCTATCTTGTATTGAACAAAGTTCGTTTTAACAACAGCACCAGAAACACAAGTGATATCTTTAGAATACCAGGCCTCCAGGAAAAGCAAAAGCCTTTTTGATCCTAGGCAAAAGGGCATAGTATAAGAAACTATAATTATTTTATGTTAAGATTTTTTTTTTCCTAACAAAATTTTCAGTTCCTAGATTTTCTTGGCTGCATTTCCTGATGGTGGTTGCCTTAACATTTGTACAAAAAGAAAAAAAAAAAAGATTTAAACATTCCTTTTTTATCCTCTGAGAAACTTGTTGGAATGTGAAATTTTGAAGTATGTGCATTTTGCTTCTTAAAAAAACATAATGCTTCTAATACCTTTTATTTGAAGGTGGGTTTTTTTGTTTGTTTTACCATGAAAGGCAATTTCCAGTACACTGGCTGCCTCTGAAGGGGGTTGCTGGAAGGTGAAGTGCTAAGACTGTGGTCTGTACAAAGTCAGGGCTTCCCAGGGAAGCTGAGCTCTACATGTCTAAACCTGATTAGCTATGAGCTGAGGGTGGGTGGAGGGGAGCAGTAACACAAGGGTTCCCTCTCACGCTCGGGTTCTCCAAGTGGGAACATCTCAGCCCCTTAGAAGTCCCCCTGCTGAGGACTCCAGTCTGAGAGGGCAGCGATAACAGATACCTCATTATTTGTAGGCGCCACAACCTAAAATATGTTGGACACTTTGTTTTTAAATTGTGAATTAAGAAATAATTTTGTGTACCATTTTCCTTTTTACTAGGCTTTCTTGTAAAATCATTTTATGCCTAGGGCTCACAGGGGCCAGCGACACTACGCACTCGTTCGTGTGTGCACACATGGGAACTCATGCATGCACATGCCGAGGTGCCATGGTGCTCGGCCAGAGCGCAGGAGCTCCGTAACCCACCCACCCTTGCCCCCCACAGAGCTTGTCAGCGCCTTGGCCTTCTGGCAGGATCAGGCGCTCACAAAGGGCTCCTGGGAGTAGGGGGTTCTGAGGGCCGCCTGTCACCCTGCTTCCCGTTTTGCTTGAGTGTTACTAGGTGCAGAGGCGCCCAGCGCCTAGCCCAGTGCCTGGCCTGCTCTCCCAGCTCATTAGACTTGTGTAGTGAGCCGCAGGAAACCATCCTGAGGAAAAGCCAGGCTTGTTGAAACCTGGCACATTCAAAACCCAGCTCTCAGATGCTGGACCCACACGAACTCACCCCATTTAATATCTTTTTCATTAACTGGAGACCCCACATGGAGAAGCCTCGCAGTTGGGAGATCCGTGCCATCCCGGGGCCCGCCTGGCTGATGCCCGCAGACTGAAGACGGGTGGAGTGTCCCCGCTGTCACTGCCTGACCCCCACCCGCGCCCGCGCCCGCTGAGAACAGACGGCGGGGCCCCTGCCCTCTTTCCTCCTCACTCTCCTGGGTCACAGTGAGCTCTTTCTCCTTTCTGCAGCGTGCTGTCTCCTTGTCTAGACGGCCCCCGCTTCCATCTCCAGATGGTTGTGTCTGCGAAGCCCGGAGACTTTCTCACTCCCGAGAACTCCTCCCCCAGGACGGCTTGGCAGTGAAGCTCGCTAACTCCCTGCGGTGTTACTCTAGCTAGCAGGCTTTTGCCAAATAAGCAAGCCTTTGCCAAAAAGAAAATGACAGTGTTTTCCTCACTTTGTGAATTACTGGGAATGTTTATTCCTCTCAGTGGTTATGGCCCTTCACTGGGGACATGTCAGGATGGGCGTGTCACAAGCAAGGTTGTGGTGTGCTAAGGTTCCTGTCGAACTTTGTCATTTGCCTGCAGGGGGCCTGGGTTTTAGGAAATGAATTCCCTCAAGATCAGATGAATCGAGAGATACAAAACTGGGGCCACCCAGAGACATGTTTTGTGTCTCGTAAAACAGGAGAACTTGTTTCTTTTTCAGCTCTGGTCTGATTTTAATTCAGCTCTCTGATTAGACCCACCTGCAGTGCCTTCATCTTTGTTTTTCTCCTGCCAAGGTTCATGCAGATTCCTTGGTTTCCAGGTTCTGGGATCATGATCTTTATATACTCTCTGGCCCACCAAACCTCTCATCAGGGAAAAGTTGGACTGCACAGGCCTCTCCCAAGGGCAGTTTTTAATATATGCAGTTTTTACATACTATGAAATGATGTAAATTCATCAGTTCCGTAGTATACTGGATGCACTAACAAATCCCAAGATTTCATAATGATTTCTTTCTTTGTGTAGTCTAAAGCAGATTTTAATTTATCCCTATAGTGATGCTCATTTCTTTACGATATCCTTTCCTGGGTGGAAGAAAAGGGGTTAGAATCGAAACTAACACAGTTAATTGCCAGTCACTGTGGTCATTTGTGATGTGCTAGTAAAAATTTTGATAATTGCCAATTATATTCATATCTGCATCACAGTTGCTAGCAAAACAGCAGAAAAGATGATGACGCATGTAAAATGTGCAATAACACGATCACATTCATTACAGTGTAAAACTGTAAATTCTATGTCCTGTAATTTGAAACAATAAAGTAATATGTCCTTATACTGATCCTTCAACAATGTATATCTTTTGCTTAATTAACTTTACCTATAGAATACCATTTTGGAAAAAAGACTCAGATTAACAATTATTTGAGATAAAAATAACTATATTTCTTCATTTTTTTCCCAGGTAAACTGACAAAATTTTGAGGTCTTTTAAATTGTGGCTTCCTGACCTGTAAACCTGAGAAATACTTTTATAAATAACGTAGCAAACATTCTCTTGCACTCTCAGTTTATTTCACCACAATTTGGTTTTGTCAGAAAAGGGCTGGGTTGTGGGAATATATTATATGTAAGCTTCATCCGTCAAATGCGTTGTGGAGAAAATAAAGGTCAAAAATGACCATCCTAAAGATAACAACCTGAATAAATGGAAAGGGAAATGCTTGTTCAAGAGTATTTATAATCTTTACCAATAGTATTTAAAAACAAGCAAACAAAAAACCCCCAAAGACCTAGGTAGCAAACCTGGAAGAATGTTTCTTATCATTCCTGGGGCCAGAGTTATTGATTACATATTTACCTCCCAGCCTTTGAGATAGATATCATAGATCAAACCAAAAGAGTTATCCCAGCATTTGCTATTTGCACAGTGAGGAAAGTGATTAAGGAGGTAAAGAAAAGATCTCCTTATTTCTAATAGTATCCTTCCAAAGTCCACAGACCATTCCTCATTGGTTAAACAGGGATGGCAATACTACCAATCTCATAGGATTGTTATAAGAATTTAATGGCTTACAGAGTAATAACTATTGGCTGCTATCATTTTTGAGCCCAGTGAGCCCAGCTTATTTTTGACCTCACGATGGTTCTTCAAGACCAGTATTTAAATACTATTTTGATGACAGGAATGAAAAGGAGGTGTCTACTAATAGACTAGACTTCAATATCAAATGGTATAAACAATATAATATTTAAATGCCTGTGCAGTTTATCTTACTATTACAGCTTTCAGATTTCTTACTTGAATGACCTCTTGTCATAGTCGAATAGAAAAACATTCATCTTTAGGCTGTAGACATTGACCTTCCATCTCCAGCTGTAGTAAGCAGCTGATCTTGTTGTCACAATATTGTCATAAGGAGCTGCTATTGTTATTTTGTTAATAATTCTCCTACAGTGATAAACAGTGCCTTCTGGAGACCTGATTGGTCCAGGTGCCTGGGGGCCTGATTCGGGATTAATTTTGCAGGAAAGATCTTTGAGGCACCAGTGCTACTGAAAACCAAACATTTTACTGGGACAGCACAGAGAGGTGTTTTTTTTGTTTTATTTTGTTTTGACTGAGGTGGTGTTATCTAGATGTTTCCTAAAGTATGGCTTATGGCATATCTGGTGGTATTTTCCAAACTATGTTCCATGGGACATTAGCCTTGCAAGATGCTCTGAGACTTGAGAGCACTGTGGACAGATAAGTTTACTGTCCATCTGTGCCAGATTTGGGAGGATCCCATTGCATGTTAGCTCCTTAAAAGCTCTGAGAAGTCTTGGAGTAAAGGAATACTTGGAGAAAGTATTCTTTGGTATGATAGTTTGGAGTTTCAGACAAGCACCTTTTTCAAGAACTTGAGCAGGTCTAAAGCTTGCGGCCCGTTTTGGCCCAATCTGCTGCTGTGGCTGACTTGCGTGGAGATGAGGCGACCCTTTACCCAGGCAAGGATTATAAACAGTTTTCAGCTTCTGAATGGAATGTTAACTTTGCACTTTTTATGTTTGGTACCCTAAGTTCTTCCTTCGGGCATGAACACAAGTTATCTGCCCTACAGGCTTTTTCCTCAGAATTTAAACTTGAGGTAACTTCCATCTATGTTCTGTAGCAGTAACAGTGGAGAAAGTGAAAAAAAAAAAATAGTCATCTCTTTCTATTCAACTTCTGCTCATGAATTAATGATCACAGTTCATGAGAGAGCTGCTTCAGGATAGCTCTTCATAAAAA